GGCGCCGCCGCCACCAGGGCGCCCCCTGGGGGGCGCGCGGCGGCGCAGCAGCGAGGGCGACACGGGCAGCGGGGCCGCGAGCCCGGCCGCGCCGCACATAAAAATAGCACTTTTTAAAAACACACTTTTAATGACWGCAAGGCAAGGCGATGAAGGCCAGCCCTGCGAGGGGGCAGCTTAAGGACAAAAGGGTACGGTTTCAGAGGCTGCCAAGTATTGCACTCCCTTACTTCACAGTACTGAAAAGTCTATAAAAGATCTAAAAATAAGCTCTAAAAATAGAAATAGCTCATAGATGTGTGCATATTCATGATTTGAAAATTTCAGTTAAAGTCCACAGAAAAATAACCGTCTCCTGAGATGAGGGCAGAAGGCGCAGAGGGCCGTRCCCGCAACGCGCTGACTCCAGCCGCTCCAGGGCCCGAGCGCTTGGCCTTGCCTGTTCCCCGGGCTGTTAATACATGTTCGGGCCGCACCTCGTGTGGGAGGAAGTGGCTTTTGCAAGGGGGTTGTAGCTTTTACCGATGACAGGCAGCGCTGCTGGGGAGCCGCGAAGCCACCGCGGCGCCCCGGGGAGGACGGGGTTCGTGCACAGCCCTGGGACACCTGAGCACGGGCAAGATCTGAACCTGCAGCTAGTCCTGCTGTGGCTGAAAGAGATGGGCAGCACGTCTTCTCTTGGAGGAGCTCATAGGGCCAGGCATGGCCTTGTCTGGGAAAAATAGATGCCATCAGAAAAAAAAAAAAAAAGAAGAAAATAAAACATTAAGCCCTTCCTGTGTCTCAAAAACATCTCAGCTCTGCACAACAACTCAGCAGCCAGCACACCTGCCCTCCAATGCTAGCGTGCTCCCTCGTGCATGTTAGAGAAATACAGAAAAGTTTAAGAAAAAAAAAGTATGGCATGCTGCCTGGTAGCAAACTACCCACAGTTATGTGTGTTACCCAACATCCTGTGAACATCTGCTTTAAAAGCATTCTGAAGCACTTTGTCCCTGGGGCCACTATTTTTTTTTTCCAGCAATTATACAGAACACACCAAGACACTCGGTTCGCTTCGCACCAAAGTTGTTCAACAGCTCCCTATGTTTCAAGGTGCCTTCCCAACACGGATTCTCTTTCAGGTGCACCTTGATACTGCTTCAAGTATAAGTAAGAGTCCACAGCAGGAAGCAGTATGTTTGAGGCTCCCTTTTTCCCAGACATGGGAAATGGGAAGCCTCCCTGACTCATTGCTGTTTGGCTCAAAGGAAGTCGTGTGCAACATGACTCAATTAAGACAGGTTTCTGTAGCTTCCCACCCTTCACAATTGCCTTTACTAGGACCATTTCCACTGGATTGCTCAACATGCTCTACAAAGATAAGCTCCAGCATTACCAGTATTGAAAGGGAAAAAAATGAAATAAAAAGAATAAAACACCACCCACTATACCTCCTGATTAGTGCTGACTCCCAAATTCAGGTTAGATACATGACCAGTCATTTTTGATACATTTTGATTTCACAGCTGTACACAAACCAGCCTGTACAGAATACACATCTGAATCACATATCTAAATTGACTTGGATTTGGTAATCCTCCGTCAGGCTTACTTTGCTCTGAGACACACTATGTTCAGAAGGCTCTGCATGTTGTTTTCAGTCTGTGATATAGCCCCTAATTTCCTATTTACAGAACCCTTAAGCTTATCCTTCTATCTCCATTATTTAATGCAAGTCAGCAGACTGAATGCTCCAAATCCACTTAAAGAGAGATGTCCAGAGAGCACCCAGAGAACCTCCCCGCGCATGTGGGTTCTCCGAGAAACGTCCCGTCTCCACAGAGCGCCAGGAGGAGACAYGGGAAGTCGGTGTGGGCAGCGCCTGCCATGGCGGTGGCTCCTCGGGCTCCACCTTTGGTCCACAGCTGTCCTGGGAGCCTGGCCAAGGCTCTCCCTGTTCGGGCGAGCGAGGCAGCCCTTGGCGCGACCCGGCCGCATCCTTGTTTCTTGCAGATGTGGGTAGAGCGCCGGATCTTATCGGGCATCACAACTCCTTTCTTCAGGAGGCTGGTAAGCTGTGTACAAGGCAAACACTGCAGCAGTTGGGTCTGTGCGCAGCCCTGCCCACGCTCACCCTGCATGCAGCAGGCACCTCTTACCTTTGAAAGTCATCAGAGGCTGCAGAGTTCATCCATATGAAGGTAAAACCCCTCCGAACCTGTCACTCAGAGTTCAAACCTCTGCTTCACTTCATCTGCAAYCATTTTGGCAATGGCGAGGGAGGAGGTCGCAGCAGGAGAAGGGGCATTTCTGACGTGAAGAATTCGGCTTCCRATGTCCCCGCTGCCCCCGTCAAATACAAAGTCATCTACCAAATTCCCATCGCTGTCCAACGCTTGGGCTCTCACTCCAGATGGACCCCTGCAAATTAAAGGGAAAAACTCATCCTTAGAGAGAAAATGTTGGGAGTTGGAGCTTGCATCTAACCAACTTCACTGAACTATGACCAGGCCCAGAGTGGCTTCTTTCAGACATGTAATACAGGATCCAAGAATTAAGGACACACACCTTTAAACATACATTTAAAAATCACACTTTTTTGCCTGTGGATCTTTCTGTGCAAGAGGGRCCTATTGAAGCTTCTACATTTCACAGAAACAGGAAAAAAGGACAAAAGTTTGTGTTATTCTACATCAAAAAGAGGATCTAAAGCAGAGTGGTATGGATTTTAAAGTTATAAAAGTTCCAAACCTTTGGCACATTTTTATGAGAGTTTAGAACACAATATTTAGCATCAAGATCAACAATAACAACACAAACATTTTCCTTTCTTGACAGAATTGCTAACTGGAAAAAATACAAATATTAACTCACAAGCCATTCYTGCCTTCAGCCCATGAACACATTGCACCATCTGCATTACTGTGGTTTTCCCATGGAAACTAACGTGCAACACACCCTTAACGTGTTTTATAGCTCTGCAACTTGTGCAGTTCCCAATCACACACATTTCGTTTGACAGCTAAATAGATGCGTGATTATAAGGCTCGATAAGACTGCTACAYTGCCAACATCTTCATATCATGTGCAAGAAACAGGGAGCATCTACACTCATTAATCCCGCTCAGCCCATTAGAAGTTCACAATCATTGCTTACGCATCTGTGGTCTTCGCTATCACAATATTGAATGTCTCAGTTTTTTAAAGCACTTACTGGCAAAGCATTCCCTCCAGCAGAAGTTTGGAAGCGCTATAAACCTCCTTTTGCAGGTGAAACAGCAAGGCGAAAAGCAAGACTAGAAACTTGTCCATACAGATAAGTTCTTCAGCACACTTTGGTGGTAAAAAAGGAGGAGGAAAGAGTGGTTTCACTTGTTGGCACCCACRGCGAGCCCAGGTAAGTGCACCCACTCAGGAGATTTTCTGGGTCATCACACTACAAATTACATCTACTGAATTTCTTCACGTGGACACATTTTCAAGGTTTGCCCAAGGCTGAAATGCAGAGCAGGGAGTTGAGTCTGATCATCCAAACCTCAAGGCAGCATCATAACCAGAACCATGGGGCTGCAGCTTCTCCAAAGCCAACCACACTCTTCCTAAATCCCCTGAGGACACAACTACTGCCTTCCTGGAGCTTCACACAGCAGCTCTCTGCCCTTCAACAAGCACTAGGAGTTTAAGTGTTAATGAAGCCTTAAAATGCAGCAGAAAGATCAAGCTTTTTCATGTCAGGTCACTGAATTTTCCCCAGTAGTGAGAAACCATAAACAATGTACTGATACCTCTGTGGTGCTGCTAAAGAGTTTCTGTGACCCTCTGGTGGCAAAAATAAAGCTACTACATTTCACTGCCTAGGAAATCTGCTTTCGTTCCCCAGCTACCGCTTGTTCTGCCCTTCAGAAACACCTTACTGGGTGTTTACCAGCTCAGCTAGTTTCTCAAATAACCATAAACACATTGTTCATTCCGAGTTAGAAGGAGGACCAAGAGTATCATTTTACTGAAAAGAATTTCTGCTATTCTATCCTTATAAGAACAACATTCATATTGGGTGAGATTAAAGACTCATSTAAAAGTACTTTATGTCCAACCATAGTCAAATACTGATATGATAAGGACAGGAAAAACATAGAAGACGTCTTTCAAACATTCTCCAATCACAAGCAATTTGCAGCTCGGAGACTTCACCTCTCCAGTCCTGAACAGTGAGTTTCTTCTTTTCCATCTCTCCCACAAGGCTCAGACTTGAAAATCTTCCACCAAYGCCAGGGAGATCACAACAGTGACCCAGCCTGTCTAGTTTTAAGTCTCCARAGCAACAGGGTAAATATTACAGTGCTTAAGTAGTGCACCATAAGCTACTAATTCTTGCTATTATAAGACACCTTTATAAGTTAACATCTGTGAATTTTATCAGTGTGAACGCAAATCACGCTGATCCTACTAGATGTGTCACTACGAAAAGAGACATTTTTGTGGTGAATGTCACATAACATTAATTTCAGCCTACAGAAAGTACATGAAGTCAAACAAATATTTTTCAAACTAATCTGTACACAAGTGTACACAATAYAAAAAGTGTTCCTGGACATCTGAACATTTCTGTATTTTGGAAATGTCTTTCAGAGTAAGCTAATGACGCATTCACTAGCGTTCGGAACAGGAGCTTTAAGAGGCCCCTGGGTGCTACCAAGACAAGTGTTCTTTACCTGAGTACATCATGGACGGTGACCTCGGGGATGAACCTCTGCAGCTGCTTCACCTGCGCGCTCAGGAAACAGGCTCTGTACATCTCGCCCACGCCGTACGAGAGGTTACGCAGCACCAGCTTCCATAACCCGCTACAGACAGGAAAAAAAGAAGTAACTACAGCAAAACTGCATCTTTCATGAGAAATACAGCCAAACTCGGGAACTGATGCTATGCACAGCCTAAGGGAGCAAATGCAGTTGTACAGGAAAAGTCCCCATTCCCAACGTTAATGATGTGACCAGTGCTTTCTGTTTGAAAAACGTAATTCCCCTTTCCCACATCAACAGGGCTTGCTAAGAGAGCTCTGGTGCTCCAGGTAAACTGCTTCTGTGAGACTTTAYTCCAGCCTGGTTCTGGTTCTTCCTACACCCAGGATTTTTCACTGGCCTGATGAAGTAGTAAAAGACTGAAAACCCAGAGAGGGAAACCCCTAGAAACTTCTTCCCCCACAACCATTCTGAAGACCATCACACTCCCGAAACCTCAGCTTCCAGTCAATTAATTTTACTAGATCTTTGCCAGTCTTGTTTGCTTACTTTGTTTTCTCAATACTGCCAGTATTAATATCCATAGACAATAATCAAGATGCTTCCAACCATTTCCTTTAATAAATTGCCTTAATTCATGCTCTTGCCACAAAACTATTTTTCCAGTTCCCTGATCTGTCTTGCAGCCCCTGCTTGGATTCTCCCCAATATTTCCACATCCTTTTTCAAGTCTGATTTCTAGAGCTAAGCGCTCAGCAATAGTCTGTCCAGTCCTTTACAGAGGAGCAAGATTTCTCTTCTACAGATATTCTGTTTATTTATGCTTGCACTTTCAGCAATGATTCCCAATTCCTCTCAGATGCTACTTCCAAGACAGCTTCCCAACCTGTGTTCTTGGCTCCTAATATATCTTCTTCCATTTGGATGTTTTCTAAATGCATACTGATGGTCTGATTAAATTTAAYAAGGCAATTCAGACCTCTGTGCAGTCTTCTTTCCAAGCACCCTCGTGGAGATTTTATCACACTGTCTACATTGATCAAAATATTACATTGCCCTGGACCGAAACCAATTCTGGAGGAACTCTGCTCGCCAATGATTTCCCATCGGCAGCTGTGGCCACAGGCCTGCAGAGACCTGCCCTGCTAGTTTCAAATAATTCAAATATTATATCACAGGAAGTCAAACGTCTTGCAGAAGTCCACCCATATCAGAGCAACTGCCTTTAAACAAACCTAAAAGTTGGCAAAAGCAACAGCAAGGTTTTTGACAAGAGCTGGCTTCCCCAGAGTCATAACACCCGCACRCAGGAGCCCAAACGATTACCTGTACAGAACAGCATCCAGAAAGTCCGCAGGGCTGAAGTCCAGCAATTTGTAGCCCTCTCGCTTGAAGGCCAGCACTGCATTAGGACCAAGCCAAACGCTGCCATCCATTCTGGGTGTGAAATGAAATCCCAGGAAAGGAAACCGAGGATTAGGAACCTAAAGCAGGATGGGACAGTTACTGCAGCCGCTTCAAACCATATTGGGGAAACAACCGCCCAAACACCCAAACCATCAAATTCCTCCAGGAACCAGGAACACATGAGGGGGAGAATACAGACATTCAAAATTCACCAAGTGTGATGCAACAGGTAAAACAAACCAAAACACCCTACAGGAGTTCTGCTCCCGATTACAGGAAATAACTTAAAATTAACAAAAGAAATAGATCAATGTGCCTTTTCTATTTCCAAACATTACGGCAAAATAGCTACACAACTGGCTCCTGCACTTTTTTTTCTTCTAGTTAATTGCACAGGGAGAGCATGTTGCTAACTGAAAACTCTGAAGAACAGAGCATGGCAGAGTGAGACCATGTTTTAGGTGAAAGCAAAACAGACAACAAAAGATGTTTTACTGACTTCCCGGAATATAAATCATCCCACAACAAAACCAATGACACACAAATGCCATCAGCAGTAACTACCCGACAATACAATTATCAAATGTGAGGAAAACTGCACCATTCCTGTACTGCTCAAAGCAACATGCAGATAACAAGTCTGATTCATGGGAGTAATAAGGATCTGTGGTTTCTTTTTTTGTTGTTTGTGGATGAAATGCAGTGTAACTGTGCATTGAAGGCCGAAATAGAAATATCCTGCCTGTACGCACAAGTACAACTCAGTTTTTGCAGGAATACAGCAAAGACATCTCTTCCTGAGCTGACACTTCAAGTTCTTCAGCTGTTTAGAACAGGTGACTCCAGAGGTGACTATTTCACAGTCTGGAATTAAGAAAAACTTTGGTATCTATAAAAAAAATAGTGCTGTTATAACCACAAAATTGCTTCAACATCAGTTTCTTTCCTGCATTTGGTGCATTGCTTTTCCAAGTAAAAACAGGCATTTAATATTTTCTGAGCTTTGTGGAACCACTCCACAAATTGCTTTTTATTTCTGGTACCAGATCACAGACAGATTCATAAATCTGTGTAATCTCATTCTCATGCTTGGCCCCACCAGATCATTTCCGAGAGGTCCCACAATTTCCCTGGGGCAACCTACTCCAATGTTTACAAGGCAAATCTAAGGTCATGTTCTGCAATCTCAACTTTTGGAATCAGTACACAAAACTGAAGCTTATACCCAAGTAATTTATTATTTATTGTCTTCCTTCATGGGCTTTTGAGTCCTCTCTACGGGTCTACACCATAACTTACAGAAAGAAGCCAAGCACATGGTTATCCAGGTAAATGTTTCATTCTTTCCTGAAAAATCCTACAGCTAATTCTTTACTTTTTAGAAAACAGACAACCAAAGCCACTGGCTATTTACAAGATATAGCACTTTTACCTGTTCCTTTTACCTGTACCTGTTAACAAAAACAAGCTTCCCTGTCAGAAAGCAGCAGAAGGTATATTCAGAATCACATCACAGTCTTCATTTTACCACTGCCCTTGTTTCTATGGTTTTAGCAGTTCTCAAACACATTGAGACACACACCTCAATGCCAAAAATAGAGAGTACATACTGGGTAAATGTTTCCTTTAACCATATAGCACTTCTCTGGTTTTAGCACCAAATAATCTCCACGGAAGGGCACGATACGAGGTTCAGGGCTGCAGCCGCTTATTTCGGACAAGCGGTCCGAGTAGAGTCCCGCACAGGTCACAACGTGTTGACAGGAGATCTCCTCACCCTAGAGGGGAAAATAACAACCAACACCTAGCTAGAAATTCAACATCTGAACTTAAAAAATAAAAACAACTCCAACCCACTTATCACCTACAAGCCTCAGAAAAGTAAGTTGAGATCAGAAGGGAAAAAAGCAACTATGCATGTGCAAAACAGGCTGAAACATTTCAGTGGTTTTATATATATCCTTATAATATTCTCCTTTTTCCCTAAAGGACTCTTCCAAAATGAGAGCTCATTAGCCAGGCAGGATCAGAAGGAAAAAAAATAAATAAATAAAGGAAGAGACCTACTCAGGGCTTTATTACGGATTACATAAGAATCAGGGCAAGAACCAAACACCTCAGAGCGTGAGACCTCCCTCCAGGAAGCCCAGCATCTCCCCTGGCGTTCTCTGATTCCTACCCACATCCTACAGGACCACGATSACAGTCCAGCCTGCAGCTCCACAGCCAGGTCTCTGTCACCAGAGAGGACATTAGTGGCGGTGCACCGGAGCAACCACCATGTATTTGGTTAAATAAGGTTCTTAATTGATTTCATCCCACACACTGGGAAAGGTYTGCAATACCAAACGGTATCCAGAAAGCCACACGTGTTCATAGCACACAGTTATACAGAACTGTTCAATATCTAAACACCTTACTATATAATTTWTTTTAATAAAGTATTATCTACATACCTATGCTACTTGTTTTCAAATAYTACATTCCTTATTTTTCAACTAAATGTATTTCCATAAATTTTGTTTAAGTTTTTGGTGAGGGAATCTAACAGCCTTTGGAGGTTACTCTTTAATGAAAGAGGGGAAACAGAACAAAAAAGAAACAGTAACTTGAAARAGTATGAGTTTAGGGGTGAGTCTTGTCTTCTTTTCTCTCTCATTTGTGTCTTTAGGAAGTAGCTATCTATTCCTGAAGATGGAAAGATTACTCATATAGTTGCTGTTCAGCACTAACTGCTGTGCATGAGKGCCTCCTGGATAGGCACCTGTTTTATTAATTTATCTCATAAAATTTATCTCATAACTTCCTTATTATAAATCAATTACAAATGCCTTCTTATCATTTGAATAGAAGCCAAAGATTGGAGAACAAAATAATGTGTGTTTCTTACTAAGTCAGTCCATGGAAAAAACAAACATAAGAATATACAAACCAAAAAGATAAGGGGCGCAGACAGTAAATAAATGTTGCACAGCAGAAGGAAAAAGCCATAAATACTTTCATTATTATTTACTTACTCAGTGAAATCTGAACACGGTCACATACTTTGCTAGGTACTGACTGAAGCTGTGACTGAAGCTGTCTTTTAGACACACTTCTACTTCTTCAGACCACAGCAAACATGCAACTAACCAACACTGATCTAATCCTTTTTTTWAAAAAAAATGAAAATAATAAAATTCAAAAAAGAAAAAAACAAAGAGGAGCTAGCTAAAGCACCAGAGCTCAACAACAATTTTTAAGAAAGAACAGCTTCCTGTTAAGAAATTAAGTCTTCAGCTTAGTTCTTACCTTGGAGTTCCTAACAATGACTGGGTATTTCAGCCCTGTAGACAAGAGAAGAAATTAATAAATAAATTAATAAATCTAATTAATAAATAGAACACCTAACAGAAAACGGCCAGAGTGGGCAGCTTCTCAGGATGATGGTTCTTCCACTGGCAGATYTGGTGCTCCGGAGCAAACATTGCACATAACTGGACTTGTGAACCAGCCGGACTGCCAGCGCAGCCCAGCCTGCCCTCGGGAACAGGCGGAAAGGCACCGGCACCAGCACGCAACGCAACACTCGGCTGAACGTGTTTGCACTGGGAATGAACAACCCACTTCCTCTCTACTTCCTCTCTTTCACTGGCATTTTCTTTGGTCAACATTTAACTTTTCTTCTGAAGGGTGACCTGCCCTTGTTTGCCCAATGCTCTTAACATTATTTTGTCTTTCGTCTAAATATATCGCTAAGAGTCAGGGGGGCTAAAACACAGTTTCAGTTACAGGAAAGGAGTTTTGGACAAAATCTCACCATCTTCATTCTCCGAAGAACTTTCTTTAGCCATCTCCATGTTTGTCACTTCAAAATCAGTCAGGATTGTCCCACCTGCCTCCCTGAAGTCTTCAGCGTAGGACTGGGCCACTTGCTTGTAATTCACAATGCCAGTATATGGAGAATCAAGGGCCATTAGACCCTGAAACGATGTCAAGACACAGAAATACAGTTAGAATTATGTGTGCACTGGGGGCTCAAGTACACAGTATATTACATCTTGTATAACGTGCCCTGCTGCTGAGATGAAAGTGCTGCTGTCTCCCCATTTCTGATGTTTGTTAATAGTCTCCATGCCAGTTTAGACAAAAAATACCAAAAAATATATAAATACATAAAAATAAACACAATCCAATTCCTCTCCAACAAGTTTCTAGCTGGTCCTACTACCACTCATAAGCAACAAGTCATACAATTATACCAACAGGAAACAGCCAGATGAATCAGTGTGGAGCACTTATATTCAAATTTTCCTCAGTCAAGGAACAAGAGCAAATCTGCATTCCTAACTGCTCACATGTCTCCTGCTGTTAAAATAACCAAGCTGTGAAGTGCTACAAAACAACTATGTATATAGGAAGCACCTGGGTTAAAATGAGCTCCATCCAAATTTGTGTTTGCAGATAGGAAGGAATCTTCATTGCTGMACTATCAAGTTTAGCATCAGTTATACAATTTTGTTAGAAAGGGGCAGAACCACCTCAGCATAAACTCAGATATAACAGCTCTGAGCTGGGCAAAGAAAAAGTGTATCTATCAACGACAAGAACACATGAGAAAATACCTGCAAGTAGTAGGAGAGGAAAACAAACACACAAATACAATTGTCACTGCTTTTTTTTCCTCCCTGAAAGGAAAGAACACCTCTGCACTAAGCTGAGAAGGGGATGTAGATCCAACAACTTGCTGGCTCTGTCCATTTGCCTATGGTTTCAATCCTGCAGTGGGATTATTGAGTCTTCTTTCCACTTTGACCCAAGTAATTCCGATTCCTTTTGGAGGCTGCAAGTGAAACATGAGCTGCTCTCTCTAATTTACCAACATAGGCCCTTGTGATGCAGCCAGCTCATCACCTGCATCGAGTGCAGGAGCAGCTCCGTATCATTTCAGCACACTGGGAACTGAACGAGTGGATGCACAAGAGAATGAGCGCAGACAAATGGTGGAAGACTGGGATGAGAGCAGGTGCCAASAAAACAGATCCTGCAGGATCTCCTAAAATTATCACAGACCTGTCTAATTTCTGTGCAACAGCACGTGCATATGAAGGACTGCATTGTGCTACACAGTTCCAAAACTGAATGGATATATTCTTTTATGGCAATTATATTTCTTCTGCACTTTCAGGGCCTTTCAAATTTGTCACACATGCAAATTACCTGAAGGCCAGAAACACACGTGTAATAAATTCAAAATAACATCATCTGATAAACTGGTAATTTATATTCCACTTAAGAATAAGAAAATCCCTTACCCTGCAGAAGGGTTCTTTTGCTTTTATTTCTTTGGCTCCGATCAGCTTCAGATCTCGGACATTGTTCTGCAGTCCTCTTTCATATAGAGCTTTGAGTCTTGGAATTTCTTCKTGTTCAACAGCTACAATTAGCTTCAGAAAGGATGACAAGGCACACCAGAGCAAAACAGAGAGGCAGCTGAGGCCAGGAAGCAAGCCCAAACTAACAGGTAAGCAATAGTCAATGTGTGAACAGTGATTATAATGCCAGGGAAAATGTTGTAGTTTGTGCCATTAATGGCACAAGATTCTACAAGTACCTACCATTACCAAGAAAGCACTAGTGTACTAAGGAGGCAGTGAAAAACGTTAAAATATAGTTTTAGAGATTATTCATGGATAATATTTTCTAAAAGGACTATGTAAGCATAAATCTGAATGGGAAAGAAGGACATATGATACATATCATATGAACATATGATTTTAAAGAGCCACTGGGATGCTTCTAGACATTAAGTCTAGCATAATCCAAGATGTGCAAATCTCAAACAGTTTTGATAAMAGAATAAGTAGGTGTGCTGACATGGTCTCTAGATTAGACTGCACTAACCTCRACTCATTTCAGCACAGAGTTAGCTCTCAATTGTCATGAGGAATTTATCCAGGCTGTGAATTACCTGGGCCACGAACCCGAGAGCTGAGCTCACACAATCCGTATCAGCCAGGGGCAGCTCAGGTCTAGCACTGCTCTAGGCTTCCCAAGCCTTTTGTTTAAGGCTGGCCTTAGAGCCTCAGCATTATCCTCCCTGGAGCAGAGGTTGTTGGGGAAGATGACACAGAAGCAGCCCAACTCGGGCCCACAGTTGCAACTCCGCTGTCCCACCCCATATCTTTGAGCTCTGGACTCAAACGAGGCTTGCAAGCTCCTGTCACTGCACAAATCCACAGTGCCACCTTGTGACCTAGCTCAAGAAGCACATGCAGGAATGCTCTGATGAAAAAAAGTTTTAACAGAAAAGTACTTAAGAAGAGAAATTCACGGACAATCACAACAGACAAGCCAGAACAGGCTCAGGGAATATCCTGSGCTGAAATATGCTTGAAGCTGGGATAGTTAATAATGATCTCCTTTCCTTGTCTAGTTCTTATCCCTTCCTTAGACTCCATTTATAGGCTCTCCTGGAAATAGGATATAGGGCCAGGCAGACCCTGATTTGAATCAGCACAGCCATTCTTATTTCCCCAGCATTTTAGACAGTTATAGCTCAAAGTAAAATAGCAGAAATGCAGGTAGCTGGGTCCCATCTGGGGCTGTATTCAAATCAATGAGTTTTTTCAGAGCCTGGTATGCCAAGAAGCACAGCACATGCATGCTGAAATCCTCTGAACTCTCCAGAGATAGTGGTGCTCTGTAGCGCTTAGCTTCTTCCTTTACCTGAGATAATTTAGTTCAGCCTCAGTTACTGAGAACTTATCACCTAGGCCCAGAGAAGCAACTATTTGAACTACTTTAAGGATGGGGAAAAAAAAAGGAGAGAGGGGAAAAAGCAGCTTTTGACTTAAAGTAGCTAAAAGTTGCACAAAAGCATCTTCTAGTTGAAGATGTGAAAATACCACAGTCATATCTATGCCGTACATCATAATATACACTAACAATGTCAGTTTCAAAAGACAAAGATGTGCAGCAGCTCTTATACCTTCCCACACCGTTTATAGGGAATCCCCTTCTGGTCACAGTACTCGTAGCAAAGGGCTGCCCCCTGCACACACAGCTTGGCTTTCAGTGATCCCGGCATGTAGTAAATCCCACTGTGAATCACACCGCTGTTATGTCCACTCTGGTGATGCGCTAAATAAATAAAGGAAAATAATAATAAGAAGTGTTCTGTTAAAACACACAATCCCATGACTGAGTCATACCTTAACTACAGTAGCTACCACAAAAACAGGGAATTTAAGGTCCTGCCCTAAATAAGTCTTACAAGAGATCCTCAAATAAGATCTCAAAAGTACTGACAAAGTACCGGTCTCAAAAGTACTGACACAGCAGCACCTAGTTAATGATAAATAATCACACTTGCAGTCAACAGCAATTAAATGGCAAACCTTTCTTCCAAGGGCTACAACTGCAGGCCGCAGGATCCAAAATAACTTCAAGACTCAAAATAATCGCGAGAAAGTGCCCTCCCTAAGCGGAATGAGTCCTTAAAGGCCTCATTTGGTTTAACGGCAGTGCAGTCCTCAACTCCTGGGAGATGCTGGCAGGCGGGAGGACCTTTCAGAAAATCATGAGCCACATTTGCTCTGTGCTGTTGATAACTAAACAAAAGGGAGATAAAAACGTCAAGAATGTACTATATTTAACTTTTTATTCAACTAATCTGGGCAGGTTCTCCCTTTTACAGTAGTGACTCACAAAGGTCGCCCCTGCTTCGTACTCTGGCACCGCTCGCTCCTCACGGCCCAGCTGAGGGGTACCCTCCATTTCCCGCCCTCTTCACCCACCGCCTCCTCCCCGGCGCCCCGAGGAGCCGCCCCGGCCCCGGGCCGTACCCAGCTCCGTCTCCTTCTCCAGCACGACGAAGCGCAGCGCCGGGTGCCGCAGGACCAGCTCGCGGGCCGACGCCAGCCCCACGATCCCCGCGCCCACCACGRCCACATCGAAAGTGCTGCGTTAAAAAACAAATACATAAAAATGAAATAATAAACACATAGATAAATAAACCAAAGACACCACGACACTCCTCCCTAGCCCAATCCCACCTGCGCTGGCGGAGCGACACCCGCCACGACAGGTAGATCCTGTCACMTCCCGCCCGCCTCAGCAGCGCGGCCGCCGCCATCTTAGGGGCGGCGATGGGCTCCAAGCCGCGCCCCTCCRCCTCCCCCTTCACGTCCCTCTCTCCTCCTCTTATTTTTATTATTTYCCCCTTCCTCTCTCCTTTATTTATTTATTTATTTATTTCCCCGAGGTGATCATGCTGCCGGGAGTCCTGGCGCAGCCCGCGCGCCGCTGGAGGCGGTTGTTGCYGAGCGGCGGCCGCCGGCGCTTCTGGGGGTGGCTGAACGCCGTGTTCAACAAGTAAGGAGAAATCGCCCCAAAATGAGGTGCCTGCCGCGCCTCGGGGACCTCACCCCCGCCCAGACGGTCCTTTTGACACCCTCCGTGCCCCCYCCAATCAAATATTTGTTCAGTATTTTGACCTTGAAGGCAATAAATTTACCATAACAGCAAGTGAAGGTATCTAGATGTGTATTTTTATTTTCCTTGTGTTTTGGCAGGGTGGACCACGAGCGCATCCAAGCCGTGGGGCCCGACCGGGCGGCCTCAGAGTGGCTGCTGCGCTGTGGCGCCCTGGTGCGCTACCAGGGCCAGCACAAGTGGCAGCGGGACTACAACGGGCTCCCCACGGGGCCCCTGGGCAAGTACAGGATCGARGCCATCGACGCCACCGACTCCTGCATCATGTACAGGGGCTTTGACTACCTGGGTAAGGCTGGCACAGCGGGGCAAAGGGCCTTAATTAGGGCTTCATTCCTCTGACTGAGTCCAGGAATGAACAGTGCCTTCTTTCTTTATTTATTTAGAAAGATATAGAGATTTTTTTGATTTTTTTTTTTTCTTAAAATGGCTTTATAAGCATTCAGCAGTTKCTCAGATTTTGCTGGGGATGTGCTGTGAAGCAGAGAGAGGCTGGGAGCTTCCTCGGCCCTTCCCTGAAGTGACCTGAGCAAATGCCCAAGAGATTTATGCTTTCACTGAGTTCATTGTTTAGTACGTGGTAGCACAAGGCTCTGTTTTAAAAATTCCTTTTTTCTCTAAACCATTCATCTAAATTATGACTTGGAGGGTCTGTAAAGACTTCGATAGTGTTTGTTCTCCAGTCATTCATGACATCTTAAAGGAGTGGCGGGGGGGAAAAAAGCTCTTAAGCTTTTAATAAAGTCAGAGCCAGGTTTAAAAAATATTTTGTGTTTCCTTTATAAGCAATGAGGAACAATGAAATAATGAGCATACTTATTGTTTTTTATTGCAGTGGACCTTGAATGTTGTGCATTATTACATTATGGATTCAGAATCCTTGCTTATCAGCTGTACCTGTAAAGTTTTCTTATTTGTCCATGCCAAAGATTTTTAAATCTTACCTAAAAGAGGCAAACCTCTTGTTTGGACAAGGCAGGAGCAGGCTGCTGTGTGTTTCTCGAGGCACTGAAGTTACTAAATTTGCAAGTAAGAACTTCCCAAGCAGTCCTGGTTGTCCCCAGTATTCCAAAACAAACACTCGTTTTGCGTTTCCAGACGGCCTYGAATACGTTACAGAAATCAAGCTGCAGAAGTGCATTTACATCCAGGACGAGTGTCTGCAGAGGCTCAGCGACACTAAGAATTTGCAGAAGAGTCTCCTGCAGCTGAGGATCATTTCCTGTGGGAATGTCACGGATAAAGGCATTGTTGCGCTTCACAGGCTGACGTAGGTGAACGCTGAGCTCCTCTCCAGCACCCTGCTTCGCTTGCTGTCACCATCCGTCAGAGCTGGCTTGTTGATTAAYAACACGCTGCAGCTCTCCCTCCTCAGCATTCACTGCCAGGGCTGGTCTGGCCATTTCTTTCCACTGATGGGGTCACCCTGAGCAGCCCCAGGTTGAGTCCACAGGGCCCTGACCATCCTCAGGTCAGGGGTTGTCCCCCTTGACCTCCAAGTGCTGTGGGTAGCTCCGAAACAACATGTGAATTAACACCTATGTATTAAGGAGCCTGCGTAGCAATGAAGGCTGTAGGTAAGAGAGCCTCAATCTTGAATTAAGGCTGCTGCAGTCTTGAATCCATAGSTGTGTTTGCATCTTCAGAGCTGAGTGCAGCATCCCTCATTTATACTTGCAGTAATTTCCATAATGTGGATTATTGCACAGGTTCRTGGGTTCTGCTCACACGGCCTTTGCGAGAGCAGGGCTAGCAGTAACAAAGGCAGCTTTCACATTCATTCCCTAGGTTACTTTTGCTTGAGAATAAGTAAATACTGATCACCTTGATCTCTGACTGATTTCAGGCAGAGTAAAAATTCCACAGCATTCCGTAACTTCTACTGTTTTTTTCTATACCCTTAACTGCTTTTTATCACTTTATCACTTTGTTTCACTTCTTCTGTAGCCTCAGAGGGCTTGGGGCAGTGCTCTGGTTTCTGATGTTCAGGTTGGGGAGCAGAACGCGTTTGGGAAGTGGRCCCCCTCTAGCTCTGAAGTACATCCATTTGTGCTGTACTGAAGCATGGTCTTTAGTTCAGAACTGTTCATTATGCAGGATATAGGCATTTATAAAGGCATGATGTGGTGAACTGGATTTCATGCTACAGTAAATTATTAGTAAGGACTTCCAGTTTGGCTAAAACCACTACTTAAATGCAGTTTTAAAGRAAGCTTGATGGTGTTTGGGGTTGGAATCTCTTTTTAAGCTGTGTAAACACTTACATAWTAGTTACTGATTATTTTTTTTCTCATATATATTTATAGGAACCTTGAATATTTGTATTTGAGTGACCTTCCTGGAATAAGAAAGAAAGAATYTACAGTGCAGATGCTTCAGCAGGCATTGCCAAACCTAGAGCTGGAACTGGATTTAGAATAAAAGCAATTGCATGTAATTGAGAGGTATTTTATTTCATAGTGTTTATGATATGTTGCATAAGTTACATAGCRTATACTACTATATTTCCAGATATGGAAGTCCAAATTATCTCTTGATGTCTCAACAGCAGAGAAGGCAGGCTTCGTACTTAATACATGTTTTAAAGTTCTAGCTTTATCAGAAAGCTGTTAATAATGATATTTTAAATTAAAAAGGTTTTATTGCACAGAATGGGTGAGGATTTAATAAAATAGCTTATAGTTTTTTTTATCCTGTTGGGAAAATGGGCTGAAATACAGATGAGCAACCTGACCTTGCCATAAAAAATGTGCTGATGAACTGAATGCATCCGCAGCTGCGGAGCAGGTAATTTTTGATATGCCCTTGCACACACTCCTGCCATATGCTGACAGGGACTACATTAGCTGTGTATGCCACATTAGTTATGGCTGTTATCAACCCTGCTAAATAAGAGATGATTCATCTTCAGAAGGAATGTATTTTTAGCCAAATTCCTGGCTTTGATGCCCAGGGAGAGAAAGGCAGTAGGACATTACTCCAAGACAGCAGATTTCATATTTTCTTGGGCATGGATASCTCTGTGCAAGTCAGAATCTCTGTCTGTGTCCTGGGCCCCTACTTCATCCTGTCTCCCAGCCCAGCGCAGGCAGGAGCTACACCAAGAAATAAAATCTCACGGAAAGGGTCTAGGAACTGACTCCAGGCTGTCCTATATCTGCTTATAACAGAACATAGGTGCTGTGTTATCTTACAGCTGTGCACGACTAGATGACTGCTCATCCACACAGAAAACACTATCCCAAAGTGTTTTGGTATCCCAAGGCTTTTGAGTATAACATGAACTACCAGTGTTCAAGATTAAAATACATTAATGCATGTACCTGCTTATGAAGGCATGATATGAAATAAAGCTAGGCAGGCACACTGTGCAGATGCACTGTGTGACCCACTGAAATCGCTTTTACTGTTGCTGTACTCATAATGGTTCTGGGAAATTAAAATAAAATGCTTTGGGTTTCAAGCAGTAAGAGAACGTTCCTTGTCCAGGGTTAGAACTTTATACAATGAGCAACAGAAGATAACAAAAGACATCCAATAAACTGGAAAATCAAACTACACTTTATTCAATATCAACATGATATTACATCCTGAGATTAAAAAAAAAAAATCTTTCTAATACATATACTTAGGAAGAATTTCTGCCTGTGTCTGGCTAATGTTAGAAGTTAGTTTTTCCCAAACTGTTTTTGATAAAAAGCATTTCTGTAACACTGTAGGGAGGGGATTTCACTGTTGATGAAAAGAGCAAATAAGAATAACCTTACAATGCATGGAAGAAGCAAGCAGTAGAAACTCTGAACAGACTGAAGAATCAAGAGGTGGTGTTAATTATTTGTTCCCCAGCTGATAATGACGCCTCTTCAGACTTCCATCAGGCCTAAGTCATTGCACTTCTAATACCCCACRAAGCTCACAGCACAGACCTGTCTCTAGAGCAGTGCTGTTTGAGCAGGTTCAGAACCATGGCAGGGAGGTGGCCTTCAGGCTGGGCCAGCTCCCAAGTCTAACCACACACATACCTCGCTTCCTCCCATAGAGGACAGGTCATTCCTTGCAGGATCATTTACTTAGCACTGTGCACTCCAGGCTACAATATTCCTGTCCTGACACTGTGGGACTCGCACTGATTTATTTGGCATGGCGGCAGTTCTGCTGCCAAGTCTGAAATACAAGCGAGAGAGAGGAGTTTGTAAGTTCACACTGGAAATACTACTTTGCAGTAATTCTGCACCAGTAAACAACCATGACTTAAAGCAAGACAAATGTATTTTCCTTTGTACACAGAACACTAACATAAACTTGGAGTTCTTTCTGTGCTTCACCGTCCTTCCTTTAGTGGCCCAGAATATATAGCTTTACAGACCACTTTTGTATTTGCCATAATGTACATTGATCTAGTTTTTGACCAGATATCCTCTTTTTATAAACTCAGAATGATATGAATCTTGAACAATAAATAGTTCATGATGTTCTGCCGTCCAGTTAGATGTTAGGGAAATGGTAGTTCGATTTCCTTGTTTTGCAGAAGTTCTTCTTGCTGTCCAAAGCTGGTAGAACGTTACTACTGGTTAACTGAGGCAGATACTGTAACTAAAGCAGAAATTACATGTTTGCATTTCTTTGCAATGAGAATAAAGCATGCATTTCATTAAAAAAAAAAAAAAAAGGAAGATAAGCTATAAAACTACTCACACTGCAATTCTACATTTTTCAAATTAAGAGTGCACTTGCTTGTGCTTTACAACTGGACTGCAACCAGAATTGCCTAGTAAGAATAAATCGTAGTCCAGGGCAAAAAAAAAAAAAAAAAAAAAAAAAGGTTACTGTTATTATCCCACCATCTGTCACAAAGGGAACTGGGCATTTTGCCTTCTTGCTAATAAGGGATCTAAATGCACGAAAACATTCCAAAGAATTCCAAATTAAACAAGGCCGTCACAAGGCCAATTTGGCCAGCGATCCTGCAGGCCAGCAAGGCAGATGACTAGATAGATAAATCTGAGTTTTCACATTGCTCTGCTGCTTATCCTCAGTGAGTCAGTGTAGCTGCAATCCAGAATTCAGTCTGTACTGAGCTACCTCTTTAACCAGGAGATTCATTCTCACCCTGGGTAAAATTAAGATCAGTGTGATGCTGATCAAGAGCCCTATCCCACCTTTAATTGTCTGCATGAGCCCACCCGTTGGGAACCACCAATCAACAAGAAAACGCGTTCTATCATTAGCAGCAGAATGATAAATGCTGCAATGAAATATTACCCCCGGTAGGTGCTTCCGAGGCAGCCGGGCTGGTTTCCGAGACACTTTTTCATGTTCTTTCCCCAGTTCTCCTGCTTCCCTAATGCTGTCAAAGTAGGGATGCTGCAGCAGCTGCTCACATGTCTGCCTCTCTGCAGGGTCCATGTGAAGGCAACCCTTAGAAAGGATGAAGGACCACAGAGAACATTTGTTAAAAGGCCTGCACAATTCCATCCATGGAAATTCCATCTATGTTGGCCATCTATGGCCAACAAGGATCTGCAGGGATATATGTGTTAATTGTCTGCTTGTTAAGGAATTCTATGAGTCTGATTTCAGAGTCAGCGTGAAGCTTGCAAAGCAAAGCAGTTAATTAAGCAGCTAATATGAACAATTYGTATTTCTGACACGGAGCAACAACTGAATTGAAGCTAGAGGGACACTCAGGATGGCATGGAGCAGTAAAATGTCAAGCCTCAAAAACAGTTAAGTCCTAAACTTTCACATGAACTAGAACAGCTTTCGTAAAGGTGTTGTGATCTTCTGTATCACTAGCTCTGTTGTTGCTGTGCTCAGGGTAGCTGGTAGTATCTATCACCATGGCCTCCTGCTAATTTGTGCCCATCCTCACAGTTTCTAGTCCATGCATCTTAGTAAGAGAATAATTTATCTTCCACTTCCATAGTAAAGAGAACAAGAAGGAACGGTATTAAACTGTATCAAGAAGGAAAACTTTTCTTACAGCAAAAATGTTGAGGATCTGGAGTCTTCGTTGTGAAATTCTCTATTATCAAACTTGAGGTGATATTAGACAAACACTCATGAGAAATGGTGTACATAGTGCTGCATATGATTCAGAGGAAGGGATGGGCAGAAAGTCCTCTYCAAGTCCCTTCTGGCTCTGTTTTTCTATGAATTTCTACCTAAATCTCACCCATTCACTACCTGGGTTAGCAAAACTAATGGATAAGCAAAATCATTTGCTGAGTCTCAATGCAGAGCTCCTGCCCTAGCTGTCGTCTGCTTACCTTCATGAGAGCTAAAGCAGAGTATGAAATATTGGGGAATTTCACTTCTAACGGCTCCTGGGAAAAAAAAAATATGTTATGTAGTTGTATTAACTACTTTTTCAGTCATCAGGGTGTAACACATTCCAAACAACAAAATGCATCTGATTCATGTGGCATTGGTGCTTAGGCTGCCCACTGTGCCACCAGAGCGAGGAAAGCGAGGAGGAGCAGAAATAAAGGATTCCTTTGCTTGCTTTTACACAGGGATCAGTTAAAATTAAGTCATGAGAGGGGCTCAACTAGCTCCAGAACACATTCCAGCAGAGGTGGCCAAGCAGAAGGCCGGGCGAAGCTTTTGAGCAGGGAAGAGTTCTGCATGGCAGAGCTAGGGCTAGCTGAGCTAGGGAGGCTTCTCCAGCTCTAGTTCCAAAGACCCCAAGTCTGCAAGGACATAGGCTTAATCTTTAAACTGAAAAGAATTACTCATCTGTTTAAAACTAAACATATGCTTATGGTTTGGTGGGATCAGACCCTTGGATTCTCTGGACAGGACACAGTGTCCATGTTTGTTTGCCGTTTGTACCAGCACAACCCCCTGAGCTGGGTTTTTTTAATATGGAGTAATAACTAGATAGAAGAGGATAGTTTGGGTATGCCCAGACCACGGGGTCTTAGATGCTTGCAGCAAGGATTCAAAGTCATGGAAATGGTTTGTGCTTCACTCAGTTACTCCTTTGCTTGCTCTAGTATTTAAGGGAGGTGAGGACATCTCTAAGGGTATATTCTGGGGAAAGAAAAGCAGGAACATTCTCTGCCCAAACACTGTCTCCTTAACACTGCACATACACAAATACACTGCTGGCCAGCACGAGGCTGGAGGGAGCTCTTACCATATCCTCTGGGTCTGGAATTCTTACCCCGCTGAAGTACTGGTTGGTGCTGAATACTTGCTGGTGCCTGGGAATAAGATCCCCTTTGACCAAGAAAAAAAAAGCAAAATTAGATTACAGAATCACAGAATCCCAGAATGGCTGAGGTTGGAAGGGAGCCCTAGGGATCCCCCAGAGCAGCCCCTGCTCCAGCAGGGACACCCAGAGCACGGGGCACCCGGGCGCATCCAGGCGCCTTGGGAAGATCTGCAGAGCAGGAGCCTCCGCAGCCTCCCTGGGCAGCCTCACAGGAGAGGAGTTCTTCCTCAGTATCATAATGCACCTCTGTCTCCAAAGGAATTAATTTGCTGTTTTAACAGCACCGGCATTGAACAGGTTTATTCTACAACAAGGCTGACACCTCTGGAGAGAACTTCTGAACAGACGGAGATCCACCAAACAAGCTGATGAAGTTTTCATTTGTGAAAATGAAATCATCTGAAATGGAATGGAATCTGAAATGGAATCATCTTTCCATGCAGCCCGGGCTGCCAGAGCCTGAGCACGGGCTGTGCAGGAACGTGTCCCAGCCGCGGAGCCAGAGCCCGCGCGGAGCCCGAGCTGGACACTCAGCAAGGTGAAAATCAGCAGYCACCTCCCCTCTCTCCTCCGTGGGAGGGAGCAGCCCAGGGCCTCATGAAAATTTAACTCGTTTGGAGGGGATTTTTTGTACACACTTGAGGATATTGTACAGAAAAGGCGCCAGCAGGGACACGCGGTCACTTTGCCCCAGTGCAGCTTCACGGCCCTTTATGAAGCTGAGAGGCCCATAAGAGAACAGCTCAAAGCAAGCAAAATGTTAGGGCCAAATCCATAACAAAAGGGCCAATCACAAAATACACATCACAAAATACAATCACAAAACCACTATAATTATACAGCTTTGAACAAGCAGCTTTCTTCTGGAAACTCTGCCTCAGTCCATCACCTGGGTCAAAATGGAATCTCTTCTGTCTGAAGTCTTATAATTAAGAATAAATTATAACTCAACTAACATTTGCTCAAATGTGTTGCGGAAGATGAAGCAATTAGATTTAACAATAGTTCTAGCTAAAGAGGTTATTTTTAAAGTCATTAGTTGCCTTTCCAGTTTTCCAAATTGCTTAGTACAAATTATGATTCTCAATTCATTTTAATATATTTCAGCTCAGAAGTGGTGGTTCATTTCCGTCCACCCAAGGAATCAGCTGTTAGACACCAACATTAGACCGAACCAGCAGGCCCGGATTAGTTCAAGTTTTACACAGGTTTKTGCTCTTTTGCTCAGCCTCTGTTC